TTATATTATATATATATATATATATATATATATATATATTTGTTTGTTATAATATTACTTTTATATATTTGCAGAAGACATTATGTGTTCCTTATTTTTAAGTATAATATTCAATATAATCTATTGTATTTATAATAAGATCGTTTTTTAATAGTTTTTGATACACAAATGAACCAATCTTGAACTGAAATCTAAAACTCTCTCGACGATTATAATTAGAAGAGTCACACCGAGTAGAGCCCTATGTCTCCACGCGCGTTCTTTAACCAGTGCGATATAAACATACATGTCGGAATTAATGATACACCGTTTAGTTACGCGTCAGTTGATTTTCCCACTGCTTTGGCTTTGTGAGTTTTAGAAGGGGAAAGGGAACTCTGTTTTCGGGGATTCGACACGCGTTCTTCAATATGTCACTGTGGCTAATTTTAGGGGCCAACTATCCGCCACTCAAGCGCCTCCGAGTTTCAAAGATAGAGAGAGGTTGTATCGTGTCCTATAGTAATTTAAACGATTGTGATATTTCTAATTTTCTTTAATTTTATTAAAAATATTATCGATGCTATAGTATGCGCTATGTCTTTTGTAGATTGTATTAAATCTAATAGAAACGTAATAAAAAAAGAAGAGAATTAAATTGATTAAATTCACAAATTATTGCATCACATTTTGTATGTTTTTATCTTATAAATGTAAAAGTCATATTTTTTTAACAAATTTATTTATAAAGTTTACATATAAATAGAATTGTGTGACAATTCTGTACATATATAATTTATTTTTATAACATTGAATAATAAAGAATAGCTCTGATTAAAAAATTTTGTCGTATTTATTTAGAGCATTTTTAGCTTGTTTTTAAGCTATTTTCAGCGATATCACAGATTTAATCTTTGATCTGAAAACAATTATTTTAACGTAACGTTAAAATTTCTTAATTTTATTTACTTATATCTTTCATCATCAATTGTCATCAATTGTCATCATCAATTTTCTTTCTGATTTTTGTATTTCTTCCGCCTCAAAGTTCACATTCACATTGTAATCTGTTTCTTAGTTGGCTTTTCATTCACTTTAACAACTAGTGAATATACGCACATTAATTATGTCAAATTAAAAAATGTTTTATTCATTACTTGCCAAAACCATGGAACTGCAAAAAATTCATTGTGCATATCTCTAAAGATGGCTTGAAAATAAGTCGAAACGTTCGATTGATTAATGAATGTAATCAAGGAATAAATACATTTTCATACTTTTATATTATATAAATATTATATTATAAAATATTATATTATATTATAATAATCGCACCGGTTTTACTCTCAGTTGCTCTTTTGACACATTATTTTATTGTTCTAATTTTAGATTATAATATAAATCCGAAACTTGAATTTCTAACTTAATTGCATGAAATAAACATGAATAAATTGCATGAAATAATTGCATGAAATTGAAAAAGACTGATAGAGATACCTGTCTAGTGTATAATTTTAATTTTTAGTGGATATTTTTTGACATATTAAAGTATTCTTCAAGGGAACATAATAAATATTCTCTTCGATTTTAATGAGCTATGGATATGTTAAAATGTAAATAAAAAAAATAAGAGATGCTTTTTTTATAAATGTTGAATCACACATTAAAAGAGTAAAACTTTCCTTTGAAAAAAATCGATTTTGCAAATTTTGCATAGTTATTTTGAATTACTATGTTGTAATAGAACTAATTATCAGAAATTAAGCATCATACATAAAATGAAAAAAATAATTATTTTATTCAATATTACTATGTAATTTTATAATTTTTTTTTCTCTTAGAAAAATTTATATTTAAAAAAAAAACATTTCGTGGAATTAATTTCTTTCTATGTAATTTAATTTAATTATGCAATGTAATTTAATTTAATTAGTGGATTATTGAAGTAATTACTGCATTATTGTTATTCATCAGATCAGACGATGACGAGTTCGATATTTAAGTAACTTCGGCGAATGATTCGGCGATGTGTTACATAATTGTCAGGTCAGTCAGTCATCGAGCGAATTTTCCGAGCTCAGTGAATATTCGTGCTAGCAGGTGCGGTAATAAATTATAAAAGATGATCGGTAATTAACAGTAACTGCAACTGGATAGCGTTATACCGTCGCTGTGGAATACGCCCGCCGGTGCCTGTAGCTGACTCTTTATAGTGGGGTGTGCTTGTGACGTGAATTATTAGCCCTTGGGCTCTACAGAGAACCGTCGGGTGTCTACACGCGTGTGTGTGTGTGTGTGTGTGTGTGTGTGTGTGTGTGTGTGTGCGTGCGTGCGTGCGTGCGTGCGTGCGCGCGTGCATTTATATGTATTTTATTCAAAATAATTTTCTTTAATATATCACATTTATATCACTTATATCCTTTTTGGACAGTACTTATCCTAGTGGACAGTATTTATATTAAGAACATTTATATCCTTTTTGAACAGTGTGTTGGAGATTTTCATTCGTAGAACACTTATAAAAATAAAGTCTATATAGCATTGTACATCTCATTCACCGAATTGGGATTTCTGGTTATTGCTAAATCATAATATTTCGATTTTGTATCAGCTTCTCTGTGAGTTTTTCTTTTTCTGCAAGTTTCAAATTTTTTCTTATATTTCTAAGTCAAGTATTCATTCATTTTTTGTTATGATTTACGCCTTCATTTTTTATGATAAAATTATCTTCACAAAGATTTAAATCGAGAATCACTTTAAAAGATTTCAAACCGCGCAACTCTTGCGCGCCTAAATCTCTATCTATGCATCATTTCAATAAACATAACTCCGTTATTTTAGTTATCTTGATGAATAGTTTCAGCAATACATTTTAAAAACTGCTAATTTTCCGAAAATGCAATAAAAAAATCGATTTTTTTTTATTCGACGTAACCTCTTATGTGAGTGAATCATTTTAATCAATCTATTGGAACATTTCAAATTCTTTAATCGTAAATAATTTCGAAGTTATAAAATTATATAATTTCGCGAATATCTTTTTATCAATCAATTTTCATAATGCAATATATCTTTTGCTACTTACAATTTTTTTTGATAAAGTTTATTTTGTATCTTATATTTTATCATTATTATATTCAATAAAATATCGTAATGCAACATTTTCTGGTATTATATCTGGTCATACTTCTCTGTCAATTATTTTTCATCGTTTTTTCGCGTGCATTATATAATGTTTCTGTTATCGATTTTCCAATTTTTGGAATTTTTTTATTTATCTTATTGAATTTGCAGAAAATGATGAAAATTCCGATTAGACTTGGCAATTGATTTTCATCTCAGCCAACCCTATATGTTCACTGTCCACTCCCCTCCCTCTTCTTCCACGTGCTTTTCTCCTCCCAAGTAATCAATACTATCAGGCACTCTGCAGGCACAGGGCAGGTACAATGATAGCCCTGATTTTAAAATTGAAAGAAAGAGAAATCGAGATACAACATCAGAAGAAATAAAAGAAACCCCAGTTTATTTCATTTCGGAATGATTTGAGAGAATAAACTGTATATGTTATAATAGATATTATAATAGATAATTCAATAATATTCCTCAGCTTTATTCTCTTTTATTGTTGATAAATTTATTACATTGTACAATGTTTATTTAATAAATATATATTAAGGAGCCTTTCTATTTTTTTACTTAGATTTTGTTTCTTTATTGTTTTCTAATTTGCATTTAAAATATCGTGCAATAAGTGCAAATTAAAATGTTTAATCTATTAATGTCAAATTAAATATTTTATCTTTTTTACCAAAAACTAAAATAATAATTTTCACGATAAAACAGTAACAGTAAAAAGATTTAATTTAAAATATTAGATAATTAGGTGCAATGTAATAAATTCATCAATACGATAAAAGAGATCGAAACTGAGGAATATTATGGAACTATCTGTCATAATATATATAGTATCTTCTCTCAAATCATTCTCTTCTGAAATAAAATAAACTGAGTTTGCTTTATTTTTTCTGATCTCGATTTTTCTTCTAATTCTAAGATCTTCTAATAAAACTTATGGTTGATCAAGAGATAATGATAACAAATAAAGAGAGACGTAATGCTTCATGTTAATAATAACGTTTCATTAAACATATATTTTTCTAACTAATAAGTACTAAAATTGCAAAATAGTTTAAATATTTCATGATATATATAATTGTACTATTGTGCCACGCATTCTGTTGTATATTTTAAATAGATCGATATATTTTAAACAATTCCTGTTTTTAATTTGATTAAAAATAAATACTAAATGTTCAAGATGACATACCTTTTCCTCATTATCAGATAATGTAGCATATGATGTGTCCTGTTCTTTTACATCAATCTGAACTTTTTGCATTCTTTGTCTAATATCATCTACAGATGTTTCTTCTGCGGCAACTATACGTTCTATTTTTTTAATTCGATTCTCTCTTTTTTTATAAAGTTCATTTATTTTAGCTTCGATATCCCTATTAATGAATTCTATCACTTCGTTTGCTTTGTCCTATAAAAAAATTAATTTTTTTTGTGCATTTTATAAATAAACCTTTTAGCTACAAGAAGTGATATTTTAAGACATGGAATAAATATTTTCTGAAAATATTATTATAGAATTTAGAAAAGTAACTTAATTAATAATTTCAAGTTACCCGAAAGTTGTTAATTTTATCTTCAAATTTCGTCGCTAATATTTGAAGATCTCCGTTTATATTATTTAATTCATCTTTTAAATCATTGACATGATTTGTCCAGCAAGCCTCGCAAAATTTCTATAAAAAAGTTAAAATATAAATTTTATGATATAAATGTTAAAATATGAATATTTTATGATATCATTCTTGATTGTTATAATTGAAAATGTTAAACATAAAAATCTATTATTTTTTATATACAAGATAGGGAAAAGTATGGAAACCCTGAAAAACTTCGAAAAATATAAGTGTTATAGAAAAGTATTTCCAAAGTTATAGATTTAAAAAGATTTATTTACTTATAGTCTTATCAGTTTGATCTTAAATGGTGTCGCTAAAGTTAAGATTATCTTAAATTTAAATGAAATCCCGTATTTTTAAATGAAATCCCGTACTTTTATTGCATATTCTTATAGCCTTCGTTGAGACTTTTTCAAAACATAATTTTATTCATTTTGAATAAATCGAAGTTTCGAAAGTATCGAGTTTTTTATGTTAGTAGTTATTTAAGATTGTCTTAAGATAACATTTCAACAGAATAATTATATGAGCTTACTTAAGATGATCTTAAATATAAGAGCGGACTATGAATATCAACTATAGTGCTACCCTTAACATTTCCATTCAATGTTAAATAAACAATGTAATTTTTTTATCACTTAAAACCAAATAAATTTTGTCTGAAACATTTTCTACGATGATATATTATTCACAAAAATTCATTTACAAGAATCATTCGACGAAGGCAATTAAAATCATTTACACACACACACACACACACACACACACACACACACACACACACACACACACACACGTGCGCGCGCGTGCGTTTAGTAGACAAGACATGATTGGAATACAAGAATGAAATTTAAATTTAAGAAATTAATACATCGGCATTAATATTAAAATAACTTAGAAATTAATACAATTATAAAATATGCATCATGAATTACTTACATTCTTACAGTGTTTACATTTATTTATACTTTTGCAAACTTCACTGCAAGTACGGCATCTCTTATCTCGTATTTTTGGTGGTAATGGCGCAAAGCTCACTGTATTTTTCGATTCTTTCTTATCAATTATTGCTACATTGCATACAGGACAAACAGACTTGCCATCTAAAAACAAACCTAACTTTAAAACTTTTATGCTAGAAAAATAGATTTAACAATCTAATTTATATATTGTGGGATTTAAAAATAATATATTATAAAGCCTGTAAAAGAATATACGAAAGAAATATATAATACATGTAAAATCTCACAAGAATATCTGGAATATCAGTTAATGTCTATCTATCAATCGAGCTACAAAACCATTCCAAAATCATTTCATTCAAAATGTATCTTGCAGAAATTGCACGTGAGAAATTGCACGTGTCAGGTTTATATCTCTCTGTACGCGTGTATGCGCATGTGTGCGTGCGTGCGTGCGTGCGTGCGTGCGTGCGTGCGTGCGTGCGTGCGTGCGTGCGTGCGTGCGTGCATTAGAAAAAATATTTTTATAGAAATAATAAAATTTTTGAATAATGTAATAAAATTGTTTAAATAAAAAACGAAACAAATTTATTTACAAAAAATATCTTCTTTAAAAATATATATTATTTAACAAGTTAAACAATTACAGTTTTTTGCTTAAAATATTGACTTGGTTCCAATGAAATTTTTTTTAACAAATTTTTATAGCAAATTTATTAAATCCAAAGAAATATTTTTCTTTATATAACATACCTTTTTTGCGTGATATCATAAACCGATTTTTGAAACAATGTACACAGAAATTGTGTCGACATTTCATCATTTTGGATAAATTTGATCTGCTCTTGCATATCA